TCCTCCTGCCTCTACCTTTTAAGTATTTAACTGTGTTGGATCTTAACAGAAGGACAGAAATTAACTGAGTGAGGATTAGGACAGGTGGGCAGGGAGATCTTTCAAAGGGGACGACAGAACAGCTAACGAGCAGAGCCACAATCATGGCCTAAGTCTTTGTAAGTAGTTGTAAAGAATACAGGGTCACAGGTGGAATCCTTAATAACAGATGCTCTCTCAGTGGTGGTGCACACCTTTAATCCCAGCACTTAGGAGGCAGAGGCAGACAGATTTCTGTAAGTGTGAGGCCAGCCTGGTCTATGTAGTGAGTTCTAGGACTAGGACTACACAGAAAACCCCTGTTTCAAGAAACCAAAACAAACAAAAAATCTGATGCTCTCACCCAGAGCTGCTTTGTCCTCAGCTTTTTCTCTCCCTAGATTGTCTACAACCTGCTGTCTCTGCGCTTCAACTCTCGGATCCGTGTGAAGACCTATACAGATGAGCTGACACCCATTGAGTCCCTAGTCTCTGTGCACAAAGCAGCCAACTGGTATGAGAGGGAGGTGAGCTATTGGGTGCAGTGGCCCTGCCTCTGGGCCAGAAGTGTAGCATTGTTTGTAACTATGAGGTGTGACTCCTCTGCTGTTGGCCCTGATGGACTGGTTGCCTTAGAGCTATTCTTTTCTAGGTCTGGGACATGTTTGGAGTTTTCTTTGTGAACCACCCTGATCTAAGAAGGATCCTGACAGACTATGGCTTCGAGGGACATCCTTTCCGGAAAGACTTTCCCCTCTCTGGCTATGTTGAGGTAGAAACCTTAAAACTGGAGTAGCAGTCATGGAGCCTCAGAGATCATAGGCATGATGGGAATATGATCTGTAGATTATGGTAGTTTAAGAGCTTGTGCTGCAGTTCTAGTTTTATTTTTATAATGTGGGGCAAGTTATTTGATTTTGCCATGAGACAGTTTTCTCATTTATCTGTTTAATGGAAATAATAATAACTTAAATATGTGGTGACATTAGGTATTTAGTGATATATAAAGCCTGATATGTTGTAAATTTTAGTTAAAGCTAGTCATTATTGTAATGATTTTGTTTTGCTTTTTGAGACAGGGTTCTCTTTTGTAACCACCATGGCTGTCCTAGAGACCAGATTGGCCTCAAACTCACAGTGCTGGGATTAAAGCCACTGCCTGGCTTGTATTTTATTTTTTAAGATTTATTTTATGCTGGGCAGCTAGTCATTATTGTAATGATTTTGTTTTGCTTTTTGAGGCAGGGTTCTCTTTTGTAACCACCATGGCTGTCCTGGAGACCAGATTGGCCTCAAACTCACAGTGCTGGGATTAAAGCCACTGCCTGGCTTGTATTTTATTTTTTAAGATTTATTTTATGCTGGGCAGTGGTAGCACACACATTTAATCACAGTACTTGGGAGGCAGAGGCAGGCAGATCTCTATGAGTTCAAGGACAGCCTGGGCTACAAAGTAAGTTCCAGGATAGCCAGGGCAACAAAGAGAAATCCTGTCTTGAAAAACCAAAAGAAAAGGATGGCTACTGAGGACCTGGTGTACTGGTACATTCTTATAATATCAATACTAGGGAAGCTGAGGCAGGAGGATTGTATTAAGGCCAGCTTGGGCATGGCAAGAGCCTACTAAAGGGGTGGGAGACTGGAAAGATAGCTCAGTTGGTAAAATACTGCACAAGTATTAGGATCTGATTTTGTATCCCTAACATCCATGTAAAAGGATGGATGTTAACCAGGCATGGTAGTGCATGCCTTTAATCCTAGGATAGGAGTCTGAGGCAGGCAGATCTCTCTTGAGTTCCAGACTAGCCTTTAATCCCAGCAATTAGAGGTAGAAACAGGTGGATCTCTGAGATGGAGATCAACTGGTCTACAGAGTGAGTTTAGGACAGCACAGAGAAACCCTGACCCAAAAATCAAATAGCAACAGCAAAAAAGAAGCTGGGTGTATATGTAACCAAGTTGGTCCTGGAATTTATGAGTCAGCCATTCTAGTCTAGTCAGTGAGCCTAAACTTAATGGGAGGCCCTTTCTTTAAAAAAAAAAAAAAAAAAAAAAAAAAAAGGTGGAGGGTCAAGGAGATGATGGCTCAGTGGGTCATGCACTTGAAGACCTGAGTTTTAATCCTCAGAATCCAGGTAAAGTGGTGAATTGTAACCCACGTATGTAATCTCAGTGCTCTTGCAGAGAGATGGGTAGTGGAATCAGGAAAATCCCAGGAAGTTCATGGACAGGCCAGCCTGACATAGCAGCAAACAGCAGCACATATATACATACACACATTGAACAAACATGAATCATGCACATTAAATAATGTGGGAAATGACCAAGGAAGATAATTGATATTGACCTTTGATCCCCATATATGCACATGCACACACACACACACACACACACACACACACACACACACACACACACACACACACATACATTCATTGTGCACCACAAAAAGGGATGGCCACTGAGGAGGGGTCATAATTTCAGTGGCCTGGCAGGTTATTATAGCACACACAAGAATTTTGCAGTGAGGTAACTTAGAAATGTTGAGATGCATGACATTCCAGTCCTGTTTGTCCTTTGTTTTTTGTTTTTTTTTTTTTTTTTTTTTTTGTTTGTTTGTTTTGTTTTTTTGTTTTTTTTTTTTAACAGGGTCTGGAACTTGCTCTGTAGACCAGGCTGGCCTTAATCAGAGAGACCTACCTGCCTCTGCCTCCAGTGCTGAGTTTTAGCCTAGCCAGCCCCACTTCTGTAAAGTAGTTTAGTTTTTGTTTTTCGAGACAGGGGTTTCTCTCTCTAGTCCTGGCTGTCCTAGCACTCACTATGTAGACCAAGATGACCTTAAACTCACAGAGATCCACCTGCCTCTGCCTCCCAAGTGCTGGGATTAAAGGCGTGTACCACCACCACTGCCTGACTTTTTTTTTTTTTTCTTTATGAGAGACAGGGTCTCTGTGTAGTAGCCCTGGCTGTCCTGAAACTTTGTAGACAAGGCTGGCCTTGAACTCAATTTAGATTCTTCTGCCTCATCTCCTGAGTGCTGAGACCAAAGTGGAGTGCCAACACATCCAGCCTAAATTGATTTTTGCAGCCACTGACTGTTCCTAATCTGAGATCAGTACTTGCTATTACCTTTTAAAGTGTGTGGTTGGGTGAGCACTAAGTCTGCTCAAGAGGTAATGTGGCAGGGGAATCCACAATGCTGACCGCATGTAAAAAGTAAAGGCCATTTTGAAATCCCACACATTAGTTTACTGCAGTGTGTGACCTCATGGGTAGTAAGCGTGGATGTGACAGAACAGACGTCCAGGGGAGAGGGAAGGGGACAGCAGGGGTGGTCGTGTGAAGTGGGCTCCTCAGTCTTTAGTTCTAACTCTTGCTCCTGCAGCTACGTTACGATGACGAGGTGAAGCGGGTAGTGGCTGAACCAGTGGAGTTGGCACAAGAATTCCGCAAGTTTGACCTGAACAGTCCCTGGGAGGCTTTCCCTGCCTATCGTCAGCCCCCTGAGAGTCTCAAGCTTGAAGCTGGAGATAAGAAGCCTGAAGCCAAGTAGCTTCAAAAGCATGTGGATCCTAGAGGAAGACTGCTTTATCTATGGTTGTCTGTGTAAATAAAGTAGGTACATAGGGACGTTCACCCCTTCCTCTGTGTTTTTTGTTTTGTTGGCTGTTTTTTGTTTTTTGGTTTTTTTTTTTTTTTTTTTTTTTTTTGAGACAGGATTTTTCTGTGTAATCCTGGCTGTCCTGGAACTCACTCTGTAGCCCAGGATGGTCTTGAACTTAGATCTGCAAGCCTCTGCCTCCTAAATGCTGGGATTAAAGGCATGTACCACCACTGCCTGTATTTATTTGGTGGGGATGGCAGCACATGTGGAGGTCAGAGGATGATTTACAGACGTGGTTCTGTCCCACCATGTGAGTTCTAGGGATTGAACTCAAGCTCTTTAGGCTTGGCAGCAAGTGCTCTTTCTACTGACCCACTCCCTCTGTCCCTCATGTGCTATAATGGGTAGAAATGGCACTGACTCAGGAGAGGGAGGGTACAGGAGGTGGAGGTGTTCCCTGCCCAATCTATTTAATGAGACCGAATGCTACAGTTGTAGACATTGTGATCTGTAGGCCTCCATGTGTTTCTAGAGGGCTCTGGAGCTGTAATCAGTTTTTACAGTCTTAGGGTTTAGAATAGGTGTGGCATGATCTTCAGTGACTACTGGAGAGCCTTGAAACTGCTGAAGAAAGTCCTTATCTCAGCGGACTGTGTGGAAGCACTTGATAGATTCAGGGGCCTAGGTAGGGCCAGGAAAACCCTAATCTACTTTCATCCCACCCAAACATCCACAGGGTTCTATGAGCCAATTGTAAGAGCCACTTAACTCTTAAAGGAGTCTTGCCAGTTTCTGGCCTAAAACTAGAAAGTTGTTTGTAAGTAGAGTTATCAGAGCTCGGGTAAAAATGTACTCAGGAGCTACTGGTTCATCTGTCTGCTTTCCAAGACAACACCCCTTCCCCCAGCTGTTCTAGGGTTGGTTGGCTTTGTGTTGAGTGCCTTCCATGGGCACTGGTCTATCTGCTATGCAGTTGGAGAACTGGACTTGCAACTTATGATTTTGGCTTCTCAGGAGCCCAGGAGGCTGGGCTGGATTGGGTGTCAGGTTGGATTGAGTGTCCCAGCTGGCCTCTAGCAAGATGCTTTCAATGTGAGAACAGACAGTAAGAACATTGCTGCTTGATATGTATCCCTTAGGGGGGGTCAAACGGGTCTCTTAACTAAACAGCCCACCCATCTGAGCAAGAACAAATATGCTGCTACTGCCAAAACTGAAGAGTCCCCATCTCTGAGGGGTGAAAATAGCCTCCAGAAAGTGAATGAGGCCATAGCCAGTCCCTCCCTACTCAGCATTGAAGACTGACGCATAAAGGAATGCAGTAGCAGCCTGTATTGGGAAGTTGAAGCTATGGCAGGAGGAAGTAGAGTCAGAAGACATGGCTGGGACCTACAGTCCCTGCTTTTGTCTAGTGGTAGCCATTAGTCTACTTCCTTGGGTGACCAGTTCAGAATGATGCAGGTACAAGGGCTTCAGGGTGGGTGGCTAAGAACCAAGAAAAGGCTGTGGCCACCAGTAGGTACACTTGGCTCTTTGAGCCTCACATGGCAGAGGAAGAACTGTGGGCCTGATGAGTGCTATAGTGGGTGATGGTATAGAAAACGTATGCAGCTTAATTTTAGTGCTTACCATTGTTTGGGAACTCTGCCAGGGCACTGCAAGTTACAAGAGTCAAGTTAGGTTTTTGCCAAGAGGGGAGTCAGACTTGGTATACACTGGGATAAGAGCCATGCTTGGGAAGGTAACTATCAGAATACATACATACATACATACATACACACGCATTTGGAATAGGGAAGGGGACAGGAGATGGCATCCAGGCACTTTTCTTTCTTTTTTTACAAATTTATTTTTATTTTATGTGCATTTGCATGTATATCTGTGTGATGGTGTTGGATACCCTGGAATTAGAGTTGCAGACAGTTTTGAGCTGCCATGTGTGTGCTGGGAATTGAACCTGGGTCTTCTGAAAGAGCAGATGGTGCTCCTAACCACTGAGCCATCTCTCCAGCCCATCCAGGCACTTTTCATGCCTCCTGAGCAACAGGAAAGATTTCTGAGAGGCTCGATGTTCAGAGTGAAGGACAGCAGGGATCTGATTCCTCTCTACTGCCTCAGGGCAGTCCATGGACAGCACTGTCATGGGAGGTGGCCTACAGGAGCCAGAGGACCCAGAAGTGATGCCTGACACCCTAAGTTCAGGGTTTGGAAGGGAGCTAAGGATAGATCTGTCTGTGGTGGGGAGCAACCAGGATGGGTCCTAACTACCTTATAGCCTCCCCAACTCCTTGCTCGGTCTTTCTCCCCATATCTGATCCCTAAGGACAACCCACCCCTAAAACAACTCCCCTTGTAGTTGCTCTGGGCTGTGCTTGAACTAGGCATCATCGGATAGCTTACATCCAAGATGAGAAACCAGGATCCATACATCCAAGCCTTCACTCGGGCTCTTTCTGCAGCACCACATGCCCAGTGATTTGGAGGGAGCTAAGCAATGGCTACAACTCTAGGATCTTCAGAAAGGGCTTCCTCTTTGGACTTTTAGCTCCTGATTCTTATAGATCTGTTGTGTGTCTACCAGCTCCACAAGGCTAGTGAGGCTGAGGAGAGGGGTCGTTGGGCCCAGGTCTTTGCTCTCCTGGCACAGAAAACACTTTGGCACCCGTGCAAGAGTTTCTGTCTCCAGGGCCAGCCCTCTTCACTGGAATCCTGGGCCTCCATCCTTGACTCTTGCCTCGAACCCTTCCCTTTCACTTGACATTTCCCCTTCTCATCATCCTTTCCCTACTATGTGCAGGGAATCCATCTGTCTCTCCTGGTTCTTCCTATTCAGATCTCTAGCCTATCTTGGTTTCTGGTTCCTGACTACCCATGCTTATACCTATTCTGTCTTGTTCCATATACCCAGCTAAGGCCTGGGTTCAGGCAATAAGCACAATGCTAAGGGCAAGACTGGCAGGCAGTGGTTACATGCATGTATGTCCAGAGATCAGGGTTGAAAAGTGTGTTTAATACATGCTGAAAGAAAAGCAGACCCAAAGTAATTCATGCCAGGTCCTCTAACTCCTATGCTGGCAGTCCTATAAAATACAGAAATCCCATATATTTGTCACCCAGTCGTCTTGTTGGGGGAGAGGGGTTTGAGACAGGGTTTCTCTGTGTAGCTTTGGAGTCTGTCCTGGAACTTTGTCTGTAGACCAGGCTGGCCTCGAACTCATAGAGATCCACTTGCCTCTGCCTCCCGAGTGCTGGGATTTGGATGTGAGCCACCACCGCACAGGCCTTCACCCAGTCTTAATATACTCATTTCAAAGCCAACCAAGACTCTGTAGCTCTGAAACTTCGAAGTCCCCATGTGGACTGGGAGCATAGATTGGACTTGAGTGGCTCTATTTACAAGAGGAGTAAAGGGGAAAGGGGAGGGACGTTACCTCTTGTTTCATCTCAACCCTCACTTGTGACATCTTAGAATAAAGCTGGGAGAAGACCCTCGCAGAGAGACCAGCTCAGGCAGTATAAGGTGTGTGTTGCCCTGACTCTGCGTAGCTCCGAGCTGTTCTCCCAGACCCTGTCTCATTTTTGTGTCTAAAACTACTCTAAACCGTGTTCTGAGCAAATCAGCCCATTCTGGGAGGGCAGGAGGCAGGGCAACCAGGTATCAGCCCTTGTCCCAGTACCATGCCCTACTGAAAGGAGAAACATGCTGTTCCTTGAATCCTGTGTTCCTAGTGGGTTAGAGTGGGAGGAGGATGTTCCCTGTCACAGAAAGGCATAATTTGGGCCTCAAGAAGAATGTTGTTGGTGAGAAGTCAGATGGAGAGAGGTACTGGACACAGACATGAAAGTGAGGCCTGCTTGAATTTAGGAGAACATGCTTCAAAATCATCTCACTCTCACAAGGCCTGACCCCATCTAGGCCCTATGTGTTGTCCTAGTCAGGGTGGTCCTGTCCCGTCCTGGGGAGGAGGAGAGGCAAAGGCATCACAGTCAAGACACAGGGCAGGCCCACTTTATTGGCAGAGTCCAGGCGCTCAGGCCGATGGGGCATTCGGGTCGTGGTCCCGGCTAGGCATGCACGCCCCACGGCCTCCGGAGTTCCTCCGAGCAGAGGCTCAGAGCTCGGGGGGCTTGAGGGCTGGCGGGCTGGCGGCGGCGAGATCGGGGTACACCAGGAAGCCTGAGAAGGTGATGTACTTGCCGTGGTTGCTGTAGGCGCCATAGCCATCGTGGTCGTGGCTGAGCAGCCAGACGGCATCGCCGCGCCGCAGCGCCAGCATCACGCTCTGGCTCTGCATCTCGCGGCGCCTCGAGGCGCCGTCGTCGTAAATCATGGCCTGCACCTCGTCGCGGTTCTTCATCAGCTTCACAGACAGCGTCTTGCGCGGGAGCTTGCCCAGCGTGAAGGAGAAGAAATAGGCGCCAGGCAGGCGGCAGCGGAACACGCCGGCCGCCGCGTCGAAGTCACCACCTATGTTGACCAGCTCGGTGTCGAAGGCCAGCGGCCGGTGGCGCGGGCCCGGGCCAGCATCCGAGCCCACCAGACTGCGCGTGCGCGCCGCTGAGAAGGCCGAGCGCGGCTCCGGGGGCGCGGCTCCGCGCGCAGGCGCATCGGCGTCGGCGTCAGCGTACACCAGGTAGCCGCTGAAGGTGGCGCCGGGTGCTCCCAGCGCGTATTGCGGAGCGCCGTGCAGCCGCAGCCACACCGTGTCGCCGTAGTCGAGCTGCAGCATGGCGCTCTGGCTGGCAGCGCGCCGCGCGCCCGGCCGCCGCTGCTCGTCGAAGGCCAGCGCCTGCACCTCGTCGCGGTTGCGCACCAGCATCACCGACAGGCTCTTGTGCGGGGCTTTGCCGGCCGTGAAGGAGAAGAAGTAGGCTCCGGGCACGCGGCAGCGGAACCGCCCCGTGGCCGCGTCGAAGTCGCCCCCGATGTTCACGTACACCTTGTCGAAGGTCACCGCCATTTCCGACGTGCCCTCCAGCGGGGTGGTGCGAGCCGCCGAGAAGGCTGACCGCAGTTCTGAAGAGCCAGGGCCAACTGGGCCCAGTGCCCAGCAGGCCACCGGGCTTAGCAAACCCAGCAAGAGCAGCAGCATGGCACCTGGGAGGGGAGAGAAGACCCAGGCAGGGGAGGAGGGTTGGACAGCGGCTGCCTCCACCTGTAATTTCTCTTCCTAGCCTTGCTCTTAACCCATGACTGTGTTCTCCTTCACTAGAGCAGTATGTCTCACCTAGTGTTACCTGGAGGGCTTATTACAGCACCCACACTTGTTCCCCTCGTCGAATTTATTCCATATGTCTGGGATGTGGCCTGAGAGTGTGCATGTCTAATAGTATCCTTAGTAGTGTGATAGCTGATCTAGAGTTCACATTTTCAGAACCGCTAGATTAGGTGGTCAGTACTTCTCCAAACTTTTGTTTTTAAGCATGAGAATCCTTTTTGCAAATAAGATCTGGTACACATGCCACAAACATGTTGAAATGCTCAGGTTAATGAGGCCTACAGCCCTGTTCTTGATCCTCACCTCTCCTCCTCTGGGTGTTAAGGAGGTCTGTTTCCAACAGTCAGCACTCCTATGCATTTTCCTGTACTTTTTCTCTGGTCCTTGGCCTGCCCTTCACAATAAACACTGGCTCCTTGTATGAGTTTCTGCCATGACAGCGTCCTAAGTCTTATCTGGGAATGAATGGAGAGAGCTGCTCTCTAGTCCTTTTCCTGGCCTCTGACCTAGTCCAGAATTCCTCAGGATCTCTGGACTCCCCTGGGGCCCTTCCTGCACTGAGGAGTCTGGCCAGGCTTTGCACTAGTGTCTTCCCTATGAAAACAATGAAGTAACAAGGGACAGGGAGATGGCTCAGCAGTTAATTTCCCAGCACCACAAGGCAACTCACAGCCATCTATAATTCTAGATCGGATACCTCTTCTGGCCTTATAAGCAGCAGGCACACAGTGTTATACAGACATACATGCAAGCAAAGCACCCATATACATAATTTTGTGTTAATTTTTAAATGCTATAATAACTTCCTCTGTGCCTTTGTGCTTGGAGGCTAGCTCCCATGGGAAGGAGCAAGCCACAGCTGCTAAGGATAGGGAGAACAAAATAAAATTCTGGCAGGGCTTTGGCAAGATGGTGATGTCATCAACTTCATTGGTGGTGGTGGTGGTGGTGGTGGTGGTGGTGGTGGTGGTGGAATGGAGTAGATAGACTTAGATCTGAACACTAGTCTTGGGGAATTAACCACAAGCACTCTTGACACTGAGTCACACCCCAGTCACTGTAGACTTTTTTTTTTTTTTTTAACTCTGAGTAAGGCTTCATCCATGATGGAGGGCCTCACACAAGCTTGTGGTAACCTACCCAGACAGCAGCTGTGAACAAGGTCTGTATAGGGACATCAATACGCTTCTGTTCTTACCCCTGGGAACAGTGATCTGATCAAGTTCTTGACATAAGGGGTCAGAGCCTCAGTAAATGCATGCTTAAGGCGTTACCCAGTTCTTGGAGTCATGCTGATGGAGTTCCATCGTGTTCTGAAGTAGGGCTGAGACTTTGAAGCTTGAACACAAAAGACTCCAAAGTGGAGAGAGGCTGGAGACAGCTTGGGACATGAGCTTTTCTGGGAAGTACCCTGGGAGTGTGTGTAGCCTTGTGTCTCTTACAGATGCCAGGGGCCTGCTGAGAAAAGCTGCCTGGTGCAGCTCCACAGCTGTGTCTCACTCCTGGCTGTTCACCTGAGGACTGGAATCTAGCCTGCATTCCACTTGCCTAGCTGCTGGAGTAAAATGCACTGCCCTTTAATTTTCACAATAAAGACCTCAAGTCCAGCTGACCACTGCCTCCTTCCAGAGGAATGTTTTTCTGATTCTCAGAGATGTCCCATGGGTTACTTGGTTGAGGACATGGAGGAGAGAAGGGGCCTATCTGTAGTAGCGAAAACTATACCTGCCAGATGCCTAGTCTATTCCTTTTTACAGAGCTATTTTAGAAGTATAGATAAGCCCACTCCCATTTTATGGTTGAGAAAGTTAGTGCTTAAACAAGGGACACATGTTTTGGTTCAAGGTCATCCACGGAACACTAAGCCTTAAACAAAGGGTTTTTAAATTTCAGATTCAGTGTTCTTTTCTACTAGCTTTCCCTCTCACACAAAGGCATCTATCTCTACAGCCGATCTGTTTCCCCGCCTCTGACCCCTTTTGCAAAAACAGAACAGACAAGGAATGAGTGCTGGAATCGAGAGTGAAGGAGAAAACAAAGGCAAGCAAAACCCTCTGTCATTTTGTCTCCTGGGAGGTGGGAGCACTCCCCCTGCCCTGCAGCTTTCCTAGCAAGCTCTAGAAACTCCTACCCACCGTATCCTTTGCCACCTCCCTCCAAGTCTAGTACACCCATCAGTGCCAAAGGGTCTTCCTGTGGGGCCAATACACTGCTCCCCTTTCATACTCTACTACACATGTCCCTGAACCCTGGATCCCATCCCTTAATAACCCCTTTCCCCAGCAGGTCAGAGGGGGATGGGAAGGTGTCAGGTGAGTGTCGGAGCTCCTGGGAGGATATGGCTGCACAAAGCCCTGTCCAGGTAAAGCTCAAAATAGTCGTCTTCAAAGAGAAAAACTGGGACAGAGAGCTGGGTAGACCCAGCGCCGGGAATCAATGGAGAAGATGCAGCGATGTCAGGCTGAGGGCATCTTCAAGCCCCCAGCGCCTTGCTCCCGGCGCCCCAGTTAAACCCGTTCTCAAACCTCACCAGAATCCC